AATGAGAACTACAGCGGAATGCGTTGTGTTGACAGGATTGGGGTACATCACCTAACCCTAACTAGTTGTACCCCATATAGCCCAACCCACTACAGGCTATAATATTTGACAGATTGGTATATTTGTGGGAAGTAATATTCGCCTTGCGAATTGCATCGGCGGCTTTTTCGCGGACTTCCTGAAGTTCCGTCACAAAAGTCTGGGAACCAGGAACCGGGTTGGCGAGTGTAGTTGTCGTTGGAACCGCCGGGTCCATCCCATAATTGAGGAAAAACGGGGAGTGATTAGTCGTGCTGGATGGTGCGTTGTTGAAAGCGAATTCCAGCATGGCGAGCGAGTCTTCCCAGCGGGCAGGGTCGGGGCAGTTTGTTCGAATTAACTGTTCCATGGTCTGGTTGGTCCGCTCGGTTTGACCGTCCGTCTGCGGGTGGTAGGCCGATGAGAACTGTAGCTTCGTGCCGTATTGCGCCCATGTTTCCTTCCAGAATTTGGACGTGAATTTGGGGTCGCGGTCCCTGATGATCGCCGAAGGGATGCCGTGCAGTCACACGACCGTCGAGATGAAAAGTCGCGCAGTTTCTTTGACTGTGATTGTTGTTCGGCATGGTGCGAAGTGTGCCATTTTCGACGACGACGAGAACAGCGTCGTTGCCTGTCGGCCCAGCTGGCATCCCCGTGACGAAATCCATCGTCACTTGTTGCCACGGTCGTTCAGGTGGCTCGAGGGGTTGCAGTAGTCCAGCTGGTCGCTGACGTGTTGGCTTCATTGCTTGGCACACCCTGCATGAGGACACATAGCGCTGCACGTCGTTAGAGGAATCAGGCCAGTAATAGTGACGGTGCAGTATTTTCTGGGTTTTATCAACCCCGAAATGTCCGGAAAGGTTGGAATCGTGTATCTCCTGGATGAGGAGCTCACGCAGTAGTCGGTAAGCGGGAACCCAAATCCGGTCGGTTCCGGCTTTTAGGTAATAGTCCCCTTTTTGCGTCGTAGCCTGCTGATGATTTCCCGTTGTGAAGAAGGGGTCTGTCGTGTAGCCGTGGGTGAATAGTCCGGTAAGTAGCGGGTTCGAGTGGGTGATGAGTACTGCAGCGGATTGTACTGTCGGTCGGGTCAGGGCGTCGGCGATGTTATTAGCCCCTTTTTTATACGTGATGCGGTAGGTGAAATGGCTCTCCATGTAGTCGAGCCATCGAATCTGTCGTGGGTTGAGGTTGGGTTGGGCTCGCAGGTACTGTAGGGATTTGTGGTCCGTGCGAACAGTGACGTCGGCGCCCACCAGGTAGCATCGCCACAGTTTAAATGCGTGTATGATGGCGAGCATCTCCTTGTCGTGGATCGGGTAGTTGCGTTCGGCTGCCTGCAGCTTGCGTGATTCGTAGGCTATCGGCTGCAACCCGTTCCCGAAATCTTGGAGAAGCACAGCCCCGATGGCGAAATCTGAGGCGTCGGTTACAACTTCGAACGGCTTCGATGGATCGGCGATGCGCAGCACAGGAGGGGAAACGAGAAAATGCTTGAGTTCCTGGAAAGCCGCCTCTGCGTCCTCCCCCCACACAAAATTTCTGTCCTTGTGCAGCAGGTCGGTCAGCGGGCCGGTTATCCCCGCCATATTCGGGATAAACCTCCTGACGTAATTTACGAATCCAAGGAAACTCTGGAGTTCCGTGACGTTCGTCGGGGACTTCCACTCCTGTATGGTCTTGATTTTCGCCGGGTCGATTTTAATGCCGTCGCGCGAAATGACGTGTCCCAAAAACTCCAACTCGTGCTTAAAAAACTCGCACTTAGAGCCTTTGGTAATGAGTCGGTTCTCCTGCAGCCGCTTAAACACTGCGTCCAGGTCACTGAGGTGCTGCTCCCGTGTCTTGCTATAAATGAGGATATCGTCCAAGTAGACGATGACGCACCGGTCTAGAAGATCCCGAAAAACCCTGTTCATGGTCAGCTGAAAGGTTGAGGGCGCGTTCGTGAGGCCGAAAGGCATCACCGTGAATTCGTAACTCCCGTAGCGTGTGCGAAACGCGGTCTTGTGACAATCGTCGGCGAAGACTCGAATTTGATGGTAACCGCCGCGTAAGTCAATCTTCGAGAAGTAGCGAGCGCCACGAAGTTGGTCGAGGAGGTCGTCGGTGCGTGGTATTGGGTAGCGAGACTTGATGGTGACCCTGTTCAACGCACGATAGTCGATACACATGCGAAGTCCGCCGTCTTTCTTCGGAGTGAACAGGATTGGTGCTGCGAAGGGAGAGGTGCTGGCCCGAATGAATCCTTTCTCCAACAATGCGTCGATTTGTCGGCGCAGCTCCTCGAGTTCCGGCTGGGTCAACCGCCACTGTGTTCGAACGGTTGGTTGCGCTCCAGGTTCTAGCTAGATTTTGTGGTCCTCAGGTCTCTCCGGTGGCAGTCCAGGTGGCAGGTCGTCGGGGAAGATTTCCGGGTACCTCCAAATCAGTTCCGCTAAATCCGGTGGTACAGCTGCACACAGCTTCTCGATGTCTTTTCCTCTAGTGTCGACTGCCAACTCGCGTAAACAAACGGCGAGCAGCTGCGCGCCTCTGTTGAAGTGGCAGGCTATCGTGATGGCTTTGACGCACGGGGCTTGGATGTAGTCAGGTGTCCATGCAGGGAGCGTAATTAGCCCCTCGTGCTTGCTGATGCTGCACGTTCCCGTTGTCCAGTCGATGACGGGGTTGTGCCGTCGCAGCCAATCGCGTCCCAGCAGTACATCGCAGCCGTCCAATGTTGTCGCGAGGAACTTCATGCTGAAGCCGAAATCGTCGCCACATTCGATCCTGACCGTCCGTGTTTATTCTGTTATCGCCAAAGGCGTCCCATCCACGAGGCGAGCGTCGATTTCGGGCAGACACCTGTCAAGTTGCAGCTTGCATTTTTTTGCGCTCGCCAAATTGAAGAGGCTATGACTGGCCCCTCCATCGACGAACATTTTCAAGTTATGTTTTAACACCTTACCAGCGACCAGCACAGGGTGATCCACATGATTATCCCCGTTATTCGGCCGAGTGCGATCGATTGCATGAATCGGAACCACGACTCGGTGGGGATGGTGGGGTTCGAGCGACGGAGCACAGTCAGTAAAGGGCCCGCTAATTACTGACTCTTCCCATTTCCCTGCTCCTTCCTGTCGTTCCCCGTCAGCGGCGTTTTCTCGTGGCAATCTCTCATGTAGTGACCCGTCTTCCCACACCGGAAACACGGTCCCTTAGGAGGGTGGTCGGGTGTATGGACGGCGTTGATCGTGGTCCGATGGGTCTGGCCACGAAAACGGTTTCCCTCCCGGGAAGCTGCTCTCGCGTACTGCATCAGCGCATCTGTGGACTCCGCCAACTGTACTGCTGCAAGAAATGACGTCGGACGGCCCCTGCGAACCTCGTACTGTATCTCGTATTTGAGGCCGCTGATGTATTTATCCAGCCGTTCAGCTTCCGACATGTCATCGACTTGGTCGGCGAGGCTCATGAATGACGCCGTGTAGTCTTGGACAGAAGCCATCTGCGACCATGCACGCAGCTTCATGCGAGCTTGTTCCGAGGCGGATACGTGCTCGAAGCGACCTCGTAAGGATGCGCCCCACTCCTTCCACGTGCGTATCGTGGTCACTCCGAAGATCGACGTTGCCACTTGATTAGTCACTGTAGAGGTCCCGTCTGCCGCATGTGTCACACCTGTCGGCGTCCCTGTTTCCAAGGTTCGGCGCTACCACTCAAGCGCTGCACCTCGAAGAAGTGAAACTGCGTAATTAATACGCGTAGCGTCGTCATTAACTCCGGCTGCAGTAAAGAAGACTTCGACCCCGAACAGCCTTCCTTTTACCGTAACAGTTTTGTCCGTAGGATTAAACGGGGGTGGATTGACGGGCTTGATTTTGATCGTTGTCACTGCAACTGGAGCTGCTGCCGCTCGCTGCCTATCCTCCTCTTCGAAGTCACGTGTGAGCGCATCCAATGGATTGCTCATCGCCTAACTGTTGCCCTCGCCTTCGTCCACATGCGACTCCTGACGCGCTTCACCTCGCGTCTGGCGTAGTTCGGCGTTTTCCTCTCGTAGTGTCGTCACTTCCGCCATTAACGTCTTCATGCTTTCCTGCATTTCTGCCACTTGCGCCATCATCCTGTTGACCGCTTCCTGATCCATGTGCCTAACGCTACGTCTGGTGGGCAGTCGGGTCTCCGTGGCCTTCAGGCAAATGAAAACACGAACTATCGGAGTCGGGCAGGATTGAATTAACAATCCCTGCAGCCAACCGTCGTGTAGTCACTAAACCAGCCACACCCTATGCCACCAAACTACCCTCGGAAAAGCGGGGTGAACTAGGAAAGTAGCTCTGATACCAGGTGTTATGAGTTGTAAAAGAGAGTGCGCAGGTAAACGAATAACGAAGCTGTGACTGAATCAACTGCGAATACAATGAATGCCCAGACTAATATAGAACTACTCTAGCTAGGAGAGAACCTCGGACGAGCGAGGTTGGGTGCAGGTTTGGCGATGAGAAAGCCGAAGGCGACGTGAGGAGCCTCGGCAGCGTTGAAATCGGCCGAACGTGCGAACTCCGAAAATCGGGTTGTACGCGAAGCAGTCAACCCCGATAAGGAATTCGGGAAAATTCCTTACATGCCTCGTCTTACACCTGCTGATCCACGTTACCAAGTTCGAGCCTTAAAGGGTTCCTATCCTCGTATCAAGATGACCTTGTATCAGACTCACACTGAAAATTCCCCTAAACCCAAAACCTCTCGCTAGTTTTACCAGGCAAAAACAGCATTCTTGATACCAGGTTTCCTGATATGAGGCCGTAGGAACACGCTCTTAGTACATCCGCTATCATTCTTGTCATCTCACCCGAGCCATTAGGTGTGCAAACTGGTACACTGAAACAAACATATAGCAATTTTTGCACAAGCGGCTAAGCACTTGCACACAGTTGAACAAGATGACAAGACAAAGAACTGCAGCCAAAACAGCGAAAGCACTAACTCGCTTATTGTGTGCCATCCACTGCAGCGGTGCCATCAGAGGTTGAAGGTGGAGGCACATGATGAGCCTGGCGATTCCACGAGAGGTACGAGGTATCTCCCAATGGCCTGCACACACACGCACACAGAACCAGCATGCGAATTGCAGATGACTACACCAGCCTGGGAGCAGGAGCGAGGGAATAAGAGGCAAAGTGAAGTCTGAAGGAACAGTCCTACAAGCATGTGTTGTAAGTTGTCACAATCCCAAAACTGAGTTCCGTGCCTAGCCTCGCCTCACAAAGGAGGTTGTGTTTGCGACACCTACAAAGTGCCACATGTCTTATGAGGAATGACTGAAATGTGACTGTTTATGAGCTGTCGTTGTGAAGAATCACGTTTGCTGTACCGTTCAGCAAGTCTGTGCACTGGGGATTTTTTCACATGCGATCTATTTGCTGTCGCTATCTTTCGGTCTACCTGAGGCGTGGAATAGAGACTTTGTGCAACTTGCGCATTTGCGCACGATTCACGGCAGCCAATACGGCAGCCAGTTTAGAACACAAAGTTTGTCGCACATTCGCTTTTCATGTTGGTGACGCCTAACATTCTATACCAGAAACAGGCATCACAAACGTTTGCGGCGCCTCATATCGTGACGCTTGCTCGTGGAATGCACCCTTGGAGATGAAAGCCTAGACAAGTATCCAATACATACCTTGGATTTGTGAAGAGGAGGACAAAGAAGAGGAGGCCGAGCAGGAAGCAGAGCCCCCCCACTGTGAGGTAGGCGAGGCCCAGGAATCCGTTGGCGCCGCCCAGCCAGCTGGCGGTGGAGATGACGAGGGCCTTCTGGCCGCCGTACTGGTAGGAGTTGTAGTTGTTCTGCAGCACCACGGCCAGCGTGCTGCCTGCCTCCAGTGGCGTGTTGATACGCCCATACAGCTTGCGGAACGTGGGCAGCGCTGCCGTGCGCATCCACACCATCAGATTCTCCGACTGGTTCAGCTGCACTCCACACACAGGGAGAAAGGAGTCACAGAAACGGGAATGAGGCCATTGGGCTGTGAGGACGTGCACTCGCTCCACATGACCTTGGGAATGAGAAGGGGTACAGGCAAGAGTTGAGGGGGGGTGTAATGCGGGATAAGAGCACGTGTAACCCACACCCATGCGTTCCCGTGCACCATGCCTGTGTGGCTGCTAAGCAAGCTTACAAGCGTGTTAAGCTGCGCCCCGCCGCGCAGGTCATCAACAGTGTTGAAGTTCTCAGGCGGCACGCCAGCGAACTTGCCGCTCTGGTCGCTGGGCCACGCGATGTTGCTGCTGTCAATGGCCAGCTGCTGCCCGCTGCCCACGTCTGTGATGGCGTACGAGTCGTTGAACAGCGACCACGCCACCAGCCCGCACGGCCGGATGGGCGAGGACGTGTTGTCCCACAGGTACGCCTCTGGCTGGCACACGTCAAAATCGCTGCCGCTGATGTTGGTGCCCCGCAGCTGGCTGTCACTGCGGCTCTTCACGTACCTGCTCCGCCCCATGCAACAGCAACACCCAACGACAAGGGGGGGGGGGGAGGGGAGCAGGAGAGTAGAGAGGCCCCAAATTAAACTAGTTTAGATAAGCTAGCGTGGAAAAAAATGGCACGCAGCAGAAACAACTGCCCATCATAACTGGGGATAAGCTAGCTTCGAGAAAGCTTCAGTTGATCGAAAATAGATTCACTGTTGCGCTACCAAGGGGCTACTCGTTGAAAAAAGGGATGGCATGGAGTGGTGTGGCATGGCATGTCAAGTCAAGGCATGGCGTGGCATGGGCATGAGGGCAAGGCGTACCGGCGGTGGTTCTGGTAGAAGTTGGTGAGCTGGTAGTACACGAACACTGGCGGCTGCATGCGCTTCGGCACCTGCACGGCGGGGAACACATGTGTGACCGGCGAATCAGGCAGAAAGGGCAACAGTTGGGGGGCAGAGAGATGCAATGACAATGGCTGAGGCCACTAGCGATCAGCTCAAATAGTGGGCGAATTGAGAGAATGAGAGACAAGGGCGTGACTACAGCGCGAGAAGGCGAGGGAGGGAGAGGGGGAGAGGCGACTGACGGTGATCCGGATGTCGCACTTCTTGACGACGGACGCGTTCTGAATGTACGCCACGCCGTCCTTGCCGGCCGGCACACAGCTGTCGTCGTAGCGCTGCACCACCTCCACCACCTGCGGGGTGACAGGCACAGGCGCACGCATGGGATGGGCATACAGAGAGCGCGCAAGTAAGCAAGCAAGCTGGGGCGCATGCAGGCGGCAAGGCGCACACAAGCGCGGATACAACGCGACAAGGACTGCATCCTGCCCGCTGTCAGGCTGTTAGATGCCGCCAGCGACCTACGCTGTCAGATGTCGCCAGCGACCTATGCTGTTAAACGCCACAAGCGACCTACGCTGCTAGATGCCGCCAGCGACCTACGCTGTTAGATGCGGCCAGCGACCTACGCTGTCAAATGCCGCCAGCGACCTACGCTGTCAAATGCCGCCAGCGACCTACGCTGTTAGATGCCGCCCTGTTAGACGCCACAAGCGACCTACGCTGTTAGACGCCACAAGCGACCTACGCTGTTAGACGCCATGAGAGCGACGACTCCGATGGGGATGAAGGCGGCGCCGACAAGGAAGAGCGTCGCGATCACCTGCGACACGCATAGACAGGCGAGTGACGAGGGGCGAGAAAGCGGCAGGAGAGGCGAGGTTTGGCCAGCTGGACAAGTGTGAGTGATGTGGGGAGCAGCGAGCGCAGGGAGAAGGAGAAGCGAAAAGAACAAAAGGGCGACTCCAACACCACAGGATCCGCGGCCAAGACGCGGTCATAGACCACCGACGCGCAAAAACAATATCTAAATCGATGACTTGATTGTGATCCTCTTGCAGGTGGAAATCACGACGCGTGCGTGGCACTGACCCATGCTGGCGTCAGCAGCGGTTTGCACGCCGGCAGCTCCTGCTGTGTGAAACGCGAGTCTGGACGCATGAATGGGAACAGGGATCAGCAATTACAATGCACTGTATCAGCAACCGTACGAGAATAGCAACTGTCAAACCACGATGTGCGAAAATCAAACACGGAATGATAAATCAACGAATTCAGAAACATGAGCAGCCGGATGGAGAATGAACTCGCCAAGTGGAGTGGAGCTCACACTTAGGCTTCTTGGACTCCTTCTTAGGGTTCCCAGCTGGCGCTGTCATCGTGGTACGCTGCTATTCTATGACGGGGATCGGTGAAAGTAGTCGCGGTTTCTGATACTAAGAAAGTCGCGGGTGGTCAAAGAACAATAGCGGCTCTAGGGCGAATCAAACAGGTTGCGATGATGTAACCTTGCCTAGAAACCTTCTGCTGAACGAGCCACACTCACGAGTCTTTCTTCCAAGTTTGTGGCTTGTTTGTGCCTCTCTCCGTCGTCAAACCGTCTGCCGCAAGCTACATCACGACAGTCAACGGTGAACTCTGTTGGGCCCCAGAATGGTGCGAATGGGAGGGATGGGGGGAAGATTGGGGGAAGATGGGGGGGGGAGGGGGGTAGGGAACAGAGGAAAATGAATTCGGGTATGGTGCCGATGGGAGGGATGGGGGGAAGATGGGGGGAAGATGGGGGGGGAGGGGGGCGGGGAATAGGGGAAAATGAATTCGGGGTGAGCAGGGAGTGGCGGAAGCACACATCTTCGCACGGGTGTGAATTGTGTTTGCCTTGATGGGCGGCTATGCGGAAAACTGCTGGGAGTGAGGAAGGTCTGGTCTGGTTTCTTCCGCTGCCTGCGGTGCTGTCGCTTGAGCGTGACGCAGGGTGGCGTCAGACCACAATTATTTGTTCCCCGCCATGTTTATATCAAAGATATTTGCTTCGTTATTATTATTGTTCCCCACTGCACTTCTCATCCCAAAGCCATCTGGTCAACGAGCAAATACACAATTTGAAAGCAACGGGATTGCCGCGACTTTCTCGAACTTTCTCCCACCGCCTCGGCTTTCGGATGGAACAGCCAAGCATGCTTCCGTCAGCAGTTCAAAACCGATGCCACAGCAAAAGTGGACAGTGCATTGGCAGCATCGCTATGTCGTTCTGCTGACACAGCATCTGTGGCTATAAACCAAGATTCATGAAATTTGTAGATAGTATTAGAAAACTGATCAGTAGCTGCATCTATCAGCATCGTGATCGCAGTGACGCGTTTAGTCTGTAGTCATGTCGTCAATTTACAAGGCATTCGACCGTACCGTTCGAGACATGTACGTTTTCTTGTTTGTGCTACTTCGTGTCATTGTCTCGAAGCGGAACTTTCACGCTTGTTCCGTAGTGTTTTTCCGCTGTCGAACAACCTCCTTGCTTTCCACCGATATGCTTCGATCGTGCTAATCTGTTACCATCCATCTCCGTGGTTTGCCGGTGCAGAAAGCGTGAGGTCAACAAGAATGTGCTCAAGGTGCCTGATGCTGAGCGCAAGGTGAGATGTCTTGTTCTTTTCCAAGTCCCTCATTCGTGCTTGCGCTTTCCGGACTGCGTAGTGATGCGCGTTTCTAATTGTATCGAGTTGCTTCGTCATGCGATTGCACACCTTCAAACATATAGATTTCATTATCCTGGCTGTGCATTAGCCTCTGAAATTCCGAGCTGCCATTAACGCTACGATTTCGCAGTTACACTCTGACACGGTGACTTTCTTTCATGACTTTGGATGCTCGTGGGTGTGCGTGTCAATGTGCGTGTGTGTGCTCGTTTGCGTGCACATGCGTGTGCGTGCGCGTGCGCGTCTGCGACTGTCCGTGTCCGTGTGCATGTGCGTGTGCATGTGCGTGTGCGTGTGCGTGTTTCGGCCTCTCAGGCTCTGGATGCGACGACCAACGAGCCATGGGGGCCTCACGGCCAGCTGCTCGTGGACCTCGCGCGGGCGTCGCACAACCCGTACGACCCGTTCCCCCACAGCGCCGCGGATCTTGCATTCACCTCTTTTTCTTTGGCCAGTTCAGCTTATTCTATGCCGTTTGGAATCCGCCTCATTAGCCACCAGCACGCTGATCGTTTCCGTAGAAGCATTCCATCTGAGTGCAATTCGTTGTGTCACGTCAGTCCCCTTGCAAGTTCACTCATCTTACATGGCCGTGCGCGGTGCTGCTGTGCGCGGTGCAGGATCGAGTACTCCATGGTCATGAACGTGCTGTGGAAGCGCTGCCAGGATGTAGGCAAGGACTGGCGCCACGTGTACAAGGTGAGTCCACGTGTATGAGGTGAGTGCGCATGATTGGTGGAGTCGTAGATTTCTGCTTGTGCTCAAAGCATGAAAGTTTGTGTGACCATCTTCCGTCATGGGTTTGGTAGGGGGTCGCGTTAGTTCACTAGCATTCCGCTGGGCAGTAACGTGTATGCTCCGTTCGTCCCTTGTATGTTATGTCCCTGCCCCATCTTGTGCGTGCCGGGCCATGCGGTGCCACGGGGCGGGGCGCGGGGGGCAGGCGCTGGTGGTGATGGAGTACCTGGTGGCGCATGGCACCGAGCGCGTCGTCAGAGACCTCCGCGACCGCTCTGCCTTCATCCAGGTGCCTTAATTCCCCATGCTCAGATCTGTTATTTCCCTCTCATTCTTTCATTGTTAATCATTGTGAATGCTAACTTTCATTTGAAGAATAGGTGTAGTATGAAATGTTCTTGTGTTGTGACAATCAGCAGACCCCTCCTCTTCTTTGTCTCACCCATCCCACTGTGGCCTGCGTGGTGGTCGCGTTCAGAGTCTCGCTGATTTCCAGTACATGGACAGCGCGGGCAAGGACCAGGGCCTCAACGTGCGCACCAAGGCGCAGGCGCTACTCGCCCTGCTGCGCGACTCCGCGCGCATTGCTGAGCTCAGGGACCGTGCTGCTGCCACCCGCAACAGGTGTGTGCTGCTACCACCCGCAACAGGTGTGTGCTGCTGCCACCCGCAACAGGTGTGTGCTGCTGCCACCCGCAACAGGTGTGTGCTGCTGCCACTCGCAACAGGTGTGTGCTGCTGCCACTCGCAACAGGTGTGTGCTGCTGCCACCTGCTAAGATGCTTGACTTGGCATGCTGCATGCTCCACAAAACATGGCTTCACATTCCTCCCCCGCCCTCAACCACTCGCGATTGTTCCACCAGGTTCAAGGGCGCGTCAGCAGCAGGCACGGGGCGGGCGTCGAACCCATATGGTGACTACGAGCCTGAGAGGCAGTCCAGGGACTCGCACCCCACAGCCAGCTACGGCAGCAACAGCTACGCGGGCGACGGGCGGAGTGTGTACAGCACGGGGTCGGCGGAGAGGGTGCACGCCACTGACAGCGCGCACAGTGGCGATGGCGAGAGGCCCAGCGGGTACACAGGCAAGCAGAGATACGGGGATGAGGAGGAGGTGGAGCACAGCAGCACGGGAGGGGGAGCGGCGAGGGCGAGTGGGCACGAGGGAGGGGGTGCGGCGGGCAGCAGGGTGGCGGGCAGCAGTGCTGGCGGGGAAGGTGTGGCAGGGGGGCAAGGGGGAGGCGGTGGGGGGACGCCACAGAGTGCGCCCAGGCCTGCTGCGGTGCCCAGCACTGCAGCAGCCAGCGCCAGTCCGTTTGAAGAGGAAGGCTTTTCGGCAAGGTAGGCCTGTTCCTGCAAAAAAACGCCTTTCTCCTATCCATTCATTCCGTTTAACAGTTCCCTTTTTCAGCGTGAAGCAGCTGATCGTAGCCTGGCACACCACTGCCTGGCTGCCTGTACCATGCTCACTGTGCCAACTCGCCTCCCCCTCCTTTCTCCTCTGAAACCACCCACAGCAGCGCCTACGGCCCAGGCCCAACACAGCCCTACACCTACCCACCCTCCGATGCCCCACCTCCTGCTGCTGCTGCTGCTACTGCTGCGGCCCCTGCAGCACCAGCGTCTGGTGGGGGGGGCGGGGGGGGCTTTGACGACGACGACTTTGACCCGCGCTCCGCAGTGCAGCAGCCAGCACAGCAGCAGTGGCAGCCTGCACCTGCTGCTGCAGTTGGAGGTACACACTCGACTCGCTTGCCCCGTTGGACTCACTTCCCTCATCCCCAATGCATTCTGCATTGCATCCCATCCATCCCTAGTTGCTTTGCTGTTCACTCTGCTTCCTTTTTCTTCCTCTGCCTGCCACCCTACTCTTCCTTTTTCTTCCTCTGCCTGCCACCCTACTCGTCCTTTTTCTTCCTCTGCCTGCCACCCTACTCTTCCTTTTTCTTCCTCTGCTTGCCACCCTACTCTTCCTTTTTCTTCCTCTGCCTGCCACCCTACTCTTCCTTTTACTTCCTCTGCCTGCCACCCTACTCGTCCTTTTTCTTCCTCTGCCTGCCACCCTACTCTTCCTTTTTCTTCCTCTGCCTGCCACCTTACTCTTCCTTTTTCTTCCTCTGCCTGCCACCCTACTCTTTTTTTTCTTCCTCTGCCTGCCACCCTACTCTTCCTTTTTCTTCCTCTGCCTGCCACCCTACTCTCCCTTTTTCTTCTTCTGCCTGCCACCCTACTCTTCCTTTTTCTTCCTCTGCCTGCCACCCTACTCTTCCTTTTTCTTCCTCTGCCTGCCACCCTACTCTTCCTTTTTCTTCCTCTGCCTGCGACCCTACTCTTCCTTTTTCTTCCTCTGCCTGCCACCCTACTCTTCCTTTTTCTTCCTCTGCCTGCCACGCTACTCTTCCGCATCGCTCCGCCAGCCTCACCAGGTACCTCTTTCGTTCCTCCTGATCCCTTCCGCCCCTCATCCTCCCTTGCCCTCAGAGCCACCTGCCTTTGGGGATTCGTCCTTCCCAGCTGCGTTCTCACAGCAGCCGCAACAGGCGCTGCAGCCAGGGCACTACCAGCAGCCACCTCAGCAATATCAGCAGCCACCTCAGCAATATCAGCAGCCACCTCAGCAATATCAGCAGTCACCTCAGCAATATCAGCAGCCACCTCAGCAATATCAGCAGCCACCTCAGCAATATCAGCAGCCACCTCAGCAATATCAGCAGCCACCTCAGCAGCAGTACCAGCAGCCGCCTCAGCAGTACCAGCAGCCACCTCAGCAGTACGACCAGCCACCTCCGCAATATCAGCAGCCACAGCAGCAGCAGCAGCCAGCAGCAGCACCGGCCAGCCCCCCAGCTGCTGCTGCAGCAGCAACGGCCTCTCAAGAGGGCTTCCACGCCTTCCCACCCGATGCCCCCCCGCCCTATTCCTTTTCATCCGAGCAGCCCCCACAGCAGCAGCAGCAACAGCAGCAGGCAGCGGTGGCGGCATCTGGTTACGTAGACCCCGCCCAGCCTGCTGCGCCCGTGCCAGCTGCACCATATGCCTTCTCTGCCTCAGACGCTGCTCCCACCTCCGCCACTGCTCCCCCCCATAACACCGCCCATCACCCCACTCCCCCTGCCTCCGTGCCTGCACCTGCTTCTGCTGCGCCCTCTGGTGCTGCCGGCAGTGATAGCGGTGCAGCAGGAGCGGCAGCAATGTGTGGAGAGGGCAAGGGCGGTGTGAGTGCGGGGGCAGGTGCGGGAGTGAAGAAGTCAAGTGTGTTCTCAGACGTGCTCAGTGCCGGCCTTGTGGACCTCAACATCTCCAAAGGTACACCTTGCATGGCGTCATGGCATCATGGCGTCATGGCATCATGGCGTCATTGCATCATGGTGTCATGGCATCATGGCGTCATGGCATCATGGCGTCATGGCATCATGGCGTCATGGTATCATGGCGTCATGGCATCATGGCGTCATGGCATCATGGCGTCATGGAATCATGGCATCATTGCATCATGGCGTCATTGCATCATGGCGTCATGGCATCATGGCGTCATGGCATCATGGCGTCATTGCATGCGCGTGTACCATGCCCCCCAGATGCGAGTGTGCAGTATGCCCGTGGAGTGACTGTGCACATGCAGCATGCTCATGTACCAGTGTATGACTGCTGCTCAGTGTTGAACGGGGCACGGGTGAAATTGCCATAGTTTTGCTGTGGGAAGTCACAGAAGGTGCAGCTGGGCTGTGCTGCCTGGCTCCCATGCTCTCTGTCGTTGAGGCAACAGCTCTCTGTCCTTGCTTTATAATGAACCCCACGTACCCACCATCACCCTTCTCCCATGTGTCCCTACTTCCGTCAGCTTCCGCTCTCCCTTGCTCTGCCATCCCACTCAACCCCCATCTCCCTTCTCCCGTGCGCCACCCCCCGCCAACCCGCCTGCGTGGCGGCATCAGAGCCGGATGACCCGCTGAGCTCGGTGGGCGTGATGCCCAAGTCGAAGCTCAGATCGGCACGCGAGCGCAAGGAGGACGCCACCCGCCAGCAGCAGCAGCACGGGCAGGGGCAGGGCCAGCCGGGGGGTGTGCCCGCTGTCATGGGCCGTGCCATGGGTCCTGGTGCTGGTGCTGGTGCTGGTGCTGCTGGCATGGGTATGGGGGCAGGCATGGGGGGCATGGGAGGCATGGGTGGTGGGATGGTAATGGGAGGAGGAATGGGGGGGATGGGAGGGATGGGGGCTATGGGTGGAATGGGTGGTGGAATGGCTGGGATGGGAGGTGGTGCTGGTGGTTATGGCATGCAGGGTGGTGGGTACGGGGGAATGGGGATGGGCGGTGGAGGTATGGGAGTGATGGGTGGGGGCATGGCAGCAAGTGTGGGTATGGGAATGGGAGGTGGTGGATATCCAAATCCTCAAGGTGGCTATCCGTCAGGTGCTGGTAACTACCAGCAACCTGGTTACCAGCAAGGCAATTATGGTGCTGCAAATTATCAAGGCGGAGGTTATGGTTATTGACTACAGTGTCCCCTCACTCGCTTCAGACAGAGGCCCATGGCGCATACGGTATTTAAGGTGTTGATTGTGCCCCTCATGAAGTTTAGTGGAGTAAGTAAAACAAAATCCGTGTCGTACGCGCTAGCCAGACAGAAGTTATGAAAGAATTGTGTTATGAATTGTAAGAGAGTGCGCAGAATAATGAATAATGAAGATGTGACTCAATGAAATGCCTGTATAATGAAGGGCACGCGATTATGTAGTGGGACAACCTAGCTAAACCGGGAACCTCGGGAACGCGAGGTTGGGTGCTGATTGGGCAAGGGAAGACCGAAGGCGACGCGTGGTTGCGTCGGCAGCAAGCAAAGTGGCCGAACGTGCACTTCCGAAAGTTGGGGTTGTACGCGGTTGAGTAAACCCCTGTAAGGAAAGATGGGTTTTCCTTACACTACCACCCCCTTCAAGAAAGGTGGTCAATATCCGCAGCTCGTTTGTGGGCGAGGTAATCACCAAGAAGCGGGGAAATTTCAAGCGAGGCGGATGGTACCGAGGTGTCGTCCTCACTGGTGCGGTTAGTCCAACAAATTAGAAAATCCACGTGGCGTCCAGAAGCGTCGAGCCGAACACGATGTGTCAAAATCTTCAACGGGTCAAGTGTTGGTTCCGGGACAGGTCGGGCTGTCAGGGCAGCGTTCTGGTGCGCATGCACAAACTTGCGAAGTAGGTTGACATGGAAGGCGTCATATATATGCTAGTCGTCAGGTAGCAGTAGCTTCGCGGTGATAGGTGTCACCATCTTGATGATTTTGAAAGGCCCACAAAATCGTGGTCGTAACTTCGACGGGCCGGGCAGGTGCAGGTTTTTCATGTCAAGTAGCACTAGTTGCCTAGCTACCAAGACGAGTTCTCGTCGTAGAAGGTCGGTGTATTTGCGGGAAGTGGTATTCGCCTTGCGGATTGCGTCCACAGCCTTCTCACGAACTTCCTGCAGTTCCGTCACAAATGTCTGTGACCGCGGGACTAGGTTGTCGAGCGTAGTCGTCGTAGGTGTTGGGCTGATAAGCCCTAAGGATCTTTGTAGAGTTAAAGTCTGGGTAGGATTTGTAATAGCGGAAGCGTTGAATAAAAGATCTTGAACCACCTTGCGCTGGTATGTGAGGGCAAAGTAAGTTAATTAAAACAAGCAAGTACAAGGCTTTATATAAGAGTACAAGGAATACGAATAGATAAGATAACTGTCTTGCTGTTGCGATTCGATACAGTGCGACTCGGGCAACTGCTCAATGTCGAGTCAGTTGTGTATCCTTGCTGTCGCGCTGTATTGGTCAAGTCAAAGGTCGCTGACCTTTGACCTTCGCGTAACCTCCAGGCGGTTACCCCAACCTCCGAGGGTTGACTCGCGATGCTTCGATTTGGACTGCTTCGCTTTGAGTCCTGAGCTTCGACACGACAGAGGCGTTTTAAGACTTATTGTTCCCAACACTCCCCTTCGCTTCTGGAGTGTCGCTGATGGTGACGTGGCTTTGTCCAGTCAGCAGCATGCAGTACTCGAACTTCTGTTTTCCGAGCTTCTTGGTCAAATAGTCGGCTGCCATCTCGGACGTGGGACAGTAGGATAACTCGAGTCTTCCTTTCTCGATCTCGTCTTTCACGAAGAAGTATCGCAGATCGATATGTTTCGTTCTGTTCGCGAATCCGTTTTTGTTGGCGATGCGAATTGCAGATTGGTTGTCGCAGTGCAGGGTGAAGCTGGGTAACTCAGCTAACTTTGCTTCTTCCACCAGTTCGCGAAGGTAGAGTCCTTCCTTGGTGGCTGAGCAGAGGGCGATATATTCTGCTTCAGCTGAAGAGAGAGCGATTAGTTCCTGCTTACTCGACTGCCAGGAGATAGGTCCGATAGGCTCGAGACGATAGACGTAGCCGGTGCGAGAGCGCCTGTTATCTGGATCGCCGGCATGATCGGCATCGACATAACCGATTAGTTTCGTTGACGCAGCTTCGTTCTTGTAGTAAGTCAGGCCGATCGTCGGTGTGCTCACGAGATAGTGCAGTGCGCGATCGAGTTCTGACATGTGATCTGCTTCAGGCCTCTTGAGGTAGGTAGCGAGCTGGCTAGCGGAGTAGGACAGGTCTGGGCGACAGGTGACGGCTGCGAAGAGCAGACAGCCCAGTTTTCGCTGGTAGTCGCGTATTCCGGCGGTTTTTAGTAGGGTGGAGTTTCCTTGGCCGTTTCCTGCCGTGTAGCGGTATGGTGTGGCGATAGCGGTAGGGGTGAGCGAGAAGCGCTTGGCGATCGTGTCGGCGTATTTCTCGGCGCTTAGATAGATTGCGTTTTCTTCTTCGCGGATGTTGAGTCCAAGGTACTGCGTGACGGTAGAAGAAACCGTGAGCGTGAGATCTTTCTGCAGCTCCCCTTCGAACCAGGTGGTGACGTCGTCGGTGGAGCCGATGTAGAGGAGATCGTCAACGTAGACGATGAGTAGGATGTAGTTGGCGCCTTTAGTGAGTCGGTACATGCCCTGGTCATGGGGCAGTTGGCGGAATCCGATGCGGATGAGGCGGGTGTGCAGGTGCTGTTGCCACAGCCGTGGGGCCTGCTTGATTCCGTAGAGGGACTTTAGCAGTTGGCAGACTTGATTGGGTTCCCCGTGGGTACCGTGAGGGAGCTCGACGAAGATGTCTTCGTCGACAGGTGCGTAGAGGAAGGCATTGGCGACATCAATTTGTCGCAGCTTCTTCTTCTTCATGGCGGCGACGG